ATGGCTCACGGTGTACCATACATAGTTTTATTATTTATGGCAATTCAGCGTTCATTATTTATAAATGGTCTTAGCATTTCCTCTACTCGACGACGAATTTTCATGCGTAATGTCCACATCAACATACATTAACATTTACACGCAAAATCAGTGAAAGTAGGGTATGTTATTTATTTATTTATTTATTTATTTATTTATTTATTTATTTATTTATTTATTTATTTATTTATTTGTCTGTCTGTCTGTCTTTCTGTCTGTCTGTCTGTCTATCTATCTATTTATTTATTTATTTATTTATTTATTTATTTATTTATTTATTTATTTATTTATTAAATTTCGAGTGTCAATAAATACACAGCGATATTAATTTTTAATTTGCATAATTATAATAATTGTGTGAAGTTGCCATATATTATATTTAACAACCTACTATGAATATTGCATCGATAATTAAACAAGTTCCGGGGCCATTGATATGTATATATCGTAACCAGTATTTTGTAAAGGTCAGATTTACTTAAGAAGCTGTCAAACTAGAAATAAAAAATGTAGAAATTACAATTAAATAAATTAAAAATAAAATAAATATTGAGAATGAAAATTTACAAACATCGTTAAGTTTACAATGCGTTGTGACGATGTGAGCGTCTTGGTTCGGATTAGCATACTATTTCCGGTGGCCGTCTTGCCTCTATTTATAGTCACGGTTCCCCTTTAATGAATGAGTGTTATATATACGATAATTACGTGGGGCACTCATATAGTTGAAGTTTGGCCACCGTTTTGACCCCCCCCCCCATTTTTACCGCCGAGTTGAAAATGTTGACTCCCATTATCAAGATTTTGTGTAATTTTGTTAGCGAAAAATTATTATTTTTTTATCGAAAAGCGTGCTCTAAAAGTCGAAATTTTTGGCTTCAGTTTTCCACTAACTGTGCGGCACCCAAAATCTAGGTGAGTACCCCCCCCCCCCCCCGATATATAGCTTGTAGGGGTACATGAAAGTCGATACTCAAAAATATACATAAACATATTCATTCCATATATGGTTGCTGATGGTCTGGTTTATAAAGTTGTCTATGTAATGGTCCATATGAATCCACTTTTGATGTGGGAGTGAGAGGCTTAATTGAAAAACTACGCTTCCGTAGAAAGATGACCCTTGACAACTACCAGCGTTGATTAGTGCGCCCTCAAGGGTGAGGGTATTAGTTGACCGGGAAGGTGGGGTCACGCCGTACTGTACTTGAAGTTTAACACTAGACCTAAAATGATCGTTGCATGTCTTATCAGTGCTCTTGTAACAACAGTGGTGATCATACTTCTGTCGAATATTGTCACGAAGAAGAAGCCACCAAGAGTGGACGGCCATGTTGACAGCGGATTTGAAGAAGTGTTCAGAGAATTCCGGTTAGTAGATGCTTACTAGATTTGAATTGCCAAATTCTGAAATCATGAAAAGTGGTATTGCAGACCTCGCTAATGGGTCATAGAGGTGTTTGGTGTTTCCGTTGTTTCAACTGTTCGCAGCAATTCCCCTCTGCAACTATGTAGTACTATGATACAATACGGTAACTGTGTTACCTTGTGTGTATGGTAGGGGGTGGTGCCACGCGTTACACTGCTAACTGTGTATGTGAAATGAGTCTCTTGTATATTGGAAGAAACAAAAATCAGTGACAAGGTCATTCGGAACGTCGCGGTTTGACCTCCGAACGCTGACCTTTTCAACATATGTAAACAGGTGTATGTGTACGCCATTATTTTGCTAAATAGCTATAGTTGTAGTCCGTAACATGGTTATAGGGGAAGAACACATAACAAAAATATAAATTGACTGTTGCATGTTTTATCATTTTCAAATAAATGCATACACACACACAACGAGCCATGTCGTAAGTCAAAACTACCTAACTATACATGCCGAACGTATGGTTGTCACCCGCAATCGAGCGTGGTTTTGGCATCACCCACATTTTACATGATTGCACAATGTATCTGTAAAACATATCAACCAAAATGTTTACGATCTTAATGATTGAATTCATGCCACCAAATATCACTGCCTCAAAAGTTGATGTCACCACCACTATGTAAGTGGCGATTTGATTGGTCAATGCAGCATTTATTCGGATTTATGTAACCAATGAACATTGATGTATTTTGTTGGTGGTGGTAGTAGTATGTTAGAGAAGCTACCTGGTGTGCCATTAGGACCATAATTAAAATATGACAATTTAAATTTTAAATATAGTATTCAAATTAAAAATACGAACGTTTAAATTCAAAGTATGAGAAACTGAGGCTGAAATATGAACATTTAAATTTGAAATATTTGAGATGTTGAAAATAAAATATGAGAAATGCACTAATTGCCAGTTAGTTCATTCTTATTTTAAGTTTGTACGTAGGAAATTTGAACATAACTCTCAGATAGCGCTCTAATAATAACATAATAGATAATTTGAAATCACATCATAAACACGCCTTGGGTTACTGTGTTGACCGACTGTACAGCGCGCAATAGCACCAAGAGACGCTGAATTTTTCGAGTTACAAACACCGAGTTACAAAAATGACCACGCCCATATTTCAGAAACCACGCCAAAATTGTAACTCGATGTTCAATTAACAGTTACCGAGTACACTCTCGGATGATGTTTCTTGAAGTTGATCAGTGTCTGACATTACCCCGCCGGTATACTCGAGACGGGTAATTTTCCAGTCTGGCTGGACATCATTCAGACCTTTGTGATTTGGTGTTCTTGCAATAGGAAGTATTTTAAACTTATCTGTAATAAAGGGCTAGTAACGTTCTGGAAGAGCTGGTGCTATTGTGAAGTTGCATACCCTGGTTTTGGGTACACACAACTCGCAAACACTGAGTTGATGTCATAATGTTTGTGATTCCTGATCAATATCGGCACGATATGGCACATTATTTTAATAAAACGATATCGCATGTATGTAGTCGCAGAATATCGATTCCCATAGAACGCCAAGGTTTACCATGTTTTAGAACCAGGTTGTAAAAATATTGGGATAACCACCCTGACTTTGCTAATATGCACATCGGTACTGAACGACATTATACAACACTGTCAACAATATCGGACAACATAACACAACGCACTCACTCCGGGGCTTAGTCTAAGAGAATGTCCATATACCCATAGACATCGTCTTTAACGTTATGTTTTATTTTTGAGATATGAATATGTTTATTATATAACCCGCATGTAATTATAATCTGTAATTTAACAGAATTGACGGGGGCTATCAATGATTCTACCCAAAAAATGTTCAACCGTTATTAAAATAAACTCACAACAATTTGATAGATACTTTGATGGAAATAATTGGAATACATGTAACATTGATAGCTATTTTATTTTTATAGATTACAGGAGTTAGATGAGCTTCTCTTTATGCACGTTGTATAGTGGTATGTCATTTATGTATCTGTCATATAATCTATATTAGGCATAAATGAAATTCACAACACCTAAATTAGGAATGCGTAGACCTGAACCATCCTAGCTGTGGTCCATATCACTCGTGTTTGTCAGTCGTCACTCTCATTTAATGAAAGTTGGACCATTGGAAACTCTGGGAGGGGCGATGTGAAAAAGGCCCACCCCCGTGGTAAGTAAAAAGAGGGGAAAAAACAGTTGGCTGTCGCACAGTTAGCATCAGAACCGCAGCTACACGCCTCGATACACAGCCACATGGATCGTGATTATGACGAACTGGATGTTTTTAAAAAGCATGCAGTAACTTCGCTGTGATGCAGTGTAATGTTCTGTTACCCAAATTGGTTCTTTCTTTAATATTTAATATGTTTTCAATAACATTGGCGTATGTAGCATTAAATGGATAGGGTCCTATCCCAAGTCAGACGGGCGATCGCGCACGTCTTTGCGTTTGATTTTTACCCACTTATGGCCATCTTGAATACGGCTTTAAACTAAAAAAAAAAAAGAGTTGAGAAACGGGGTTTTCAGATTCCTACAAATCGGGGAAAAATAAACTTTCACAGCCAAATGATCCGTTGGGGGTGCATTAGGCCAACCGTTAACGCAATCTGGCTGAATTCATAGCTTTTGAGAGGAACAACCCCTTGCATACGGACACCTTATTACATGAAGAACACTTAATTTCCAGGGTATTTAAATCCAAAATTATCGTTTAACTGCAAGACTGTCGCTGATTGTATCCTATACCTGAAATATTAAAAATAGACAGAGTATTGTCACTACGCACGTACATAAGAGTAACTAATAATTAAAGTAAATTTAAGAGATTATCATACCTGGGTTAGCAATTTTACTGCATTTACATCTTTTTGTCCACGATATTCAAATTAACTAGTAAATTAAGTAATTTTAATAATTGGGTTGTGTCACCGTCTTGAGGTTAGTTAAAAGTTATACATATTGTGAAGTTGCATTGTGGCATGATCCGTTTTTTGTAGGTTTATTGTTATTGCCAATCACTTTCACGCTTTCTTTTCAGGAGGTGCCATGAACAGAATTTAGATGTAGGTTCGGCCGTCGCTGTATATTACAAAGGAAAGAAAGTGGTGGATCTATGGGGTGGCTATGCAGATTACGAAGCAGAGGAACCATGGCAACAAAACACCATGACAATGGTCTTTTCCGCAACTAAGGGAGTGGCGGCGCTGTGTGTTGCAGTAGCTGTAGATCGAGGCTATCTGGACTATGATCAGAAAGTGTCCCACTATTGGCCAGATTTCGCACAGAATGGAAAAGAAAATATTACAGTACGACAAGTTGTCTGTCACGAGGTAAATCAGCCTCATTGAGAGTTAAGATCCGCAGTAAATGAAATGAGTTCGATTTTAGCTGTGGGGTCATACCTTTATCTATGTCGGTCTTTAGTCTTTATTATGACATAATAGTCAATTCTCGTATCTTTATTGTTCATAAAGTTGTTATTTCCAGATATTAGAATTCTTGTCGTCACAGAAAAGCTATTTTTCTTCCATAATATCGATTATTTTAGTTTTTAATTTTAATTAATTAGTTTGTTTTTATGGATTTATATTTGGGATACAAATTTGCGTCTCATGTTCAGTTTGTAGGATGAACCATTGCTCATATTTGTAAATGCCTAAAATACTATACCAAAAACTAAAGACCGGTACAACAAGAACTATGGACCCACAGCAAACGGGATTTGAATGCAGACTCAAATACGAGTTTGTGGTTACGAGTTCTTGATAACAACTTAACAGTCCTATTTTACGTACTGTCGTTTTGTGGTATTCTTATATACGAGATTATTCATACATTATTAACATGAACACTGCAATTATGACGCGCGAATGTAGGTTGTATACTAGAACAACATATTTATACTTTCCAGGCTGGAATACCGATGACGGCTGAACCGCTGACGTTTTCTATGCTGGAGGACCAACACGCTCTCGGAGAAACACTAGCCTCAAGTAAATTACTATGGGAGCCAGGTACAAAGCATGGATACCATTCTGTTGCATACGGTCTTCTGCTCAGTCAGTTAATACAGCGATCGGACCCCAAGCATCGAACTATTGGTGAATTCTTTCGCGAGGAGATTAGCAAACCATACGGTTAGTCAATCGGCGTTGGTACATGTCATTCGGCAACAACCTCCCTATCTTATCGTAACGACACCTATAATTTGTAATTTTGTTATCCATTTCAGGAATAGATTTTCACATTGGACTACCGAAAAAGGAACATTATCGAGTTGCCCGTATATTAGTTCCATCTCCTTTCACATTGACGTTACATTTACTACAAATGTTGACCAGTTCTCGAAGCTATAAGTTTGCAATGGCGATGTTCAATCCACGCACTCTAACATCGAAGGTTCTTCGAAGCACAAATCATATTGTGTCTGTAAGTAAACCACAATCTTTCAGTTGAATGTAAATCCCAAATTAGTTTGTCTAAATTATATATAGAGGTATTTTAGTTTAATTGAAAACATTCTCAGTCTGATGAAGTACATTTGAACTACATGTTCTGGAGATTGTTTGTTTTGGGTACTACAGCTTTCTCAACAGGGGAATATGTCAAATTGTTGTGCAATGTATTTGCCTTCGAAGGGAGGAAAATATTGGGAATTGTTCAGTAGCAGTGAGATGAACATATATGAACATAAATTTATTCATTCAACAGGCGAATCGGGTTAATTGTTCTTTCCAGTAATTGTTCATCTTTTAAAGACACTGCTTGTTGGCTGCACCAACATCTACTGCTTATATTTCAGCTTCCAAAGATGAATTCGCTCAAGTTTCGATCGTTAGAAATTCCCTCTTTAAATGGCATTGGTACAGCCAGTGGATTGGCCAAGCTGTATGGCATTGTAGCAAACAGCGGCACACTGGGGAAGACTCTATTGTCCGAGGATACTATTGAGTTATTTACTTCAAAATGCACGCCCGTTAGAATGGATCAAATTATAATGTTACAAACTCAGTGGTGTCTAGGGTTACATCCTCATTTTGACACCATACCTCAGGTGCGTAACAAATAGTTTAACATATTGCAAAATCGACCTGGAAAATTATTTGGCCAAATATGGTCAAACAAATCATTTGTATTGAAAGGCATGCCTATGCAATTTAAAGTTTCAATTAAGACCCGTTCTGAAATAATTTTTGTCACAATTATCTTTCAGTTAAATTTGAAGGGTGTGTATGGCCACAATGGTTATGGTGGCCAGGGAACTTTCTTCGACAAGGCCAATAATTTGTCGTTCGCTTACGTCACCACAAAGTTGTCTGCCTATGGAATGGGAGAGGATCCTAGATACGTTGCCATGGTGACCGCAATTTATTCAAGTATAGAGAAGCTGAAGATGAATGACTAGATGCATTTGTTCGAATTTCATGTAAACAAACACGCGTTGTTTACGTCACTATGAGTCCCATGTCAAACACGACGCGGCGCGACAATCATCGCCCGTTAATTAGTTAATTGGTTAAATGCTAAACACGGTATACTGTTGTGCGGTGTGGCCTCGTTATTACGGTCACACAATGGCGCCTACAAACAGCCTTATTTCTGCTGGAGAAACTGGTCAAACATATTATACTATACACAAAGTGAAATGAAGTCTCTGTTGTACCCTCCATAGGTAGAAATATTATTCAAACTTTAACCATTATGCTACAACACTATTGGATAACATGTAACCTTTAAGTAGCTACATATAGCAAATAGGCCACGTGTTTTGCTTTTTTAATTTGTACTACCGGTGTATTAAGCATAATTTTGAAATTCTTTCAATAAAAATTTGCGTGGCGAAGTGTATTTAATCCCAAATGCCCGATACAATTGCAGATCTTTCCTGGCTGTCAAGTTCAATTTTTAACTATTGGAAAGGTTCTTTTAACGTCATAGATTCACGTAGAGTTGTTTATTTGTTTGAAAATGATAACGTCCTTGAGATTGTCACAAGATCAAGATTGTTTGTATATTTTATTTTGCTTGTTTCTTCAACCAATGAGGACGAATCAATAAAACCCTTATATGTATTATGTGACAGTAATATTTTATGTTGGAACATAATTAAATATGCATGTTTTTTACTAAACTTCACCGCTAGTGAAATATTTGCCAAATATTTGAAACTTTGCCAAAAGTATATCCTTGTTTGTTGTGTGTGTGTGTGCGTGCGTGCGTGCGTGCGTGCGTGCGTGCGTGTTGGCGTTTAAGGTCAAATAATTTAATTTAAATTGTCAGCACAATCTTCCATGATGCAGTATATAATAATATAATACCGTGCACTGCCTATTACGTC